TGTACCTAAGCATCCCTTTGATGGGAGAATTTTAGTGTTGTCTTCAGCATGAAGGCTGGTTTTCTTTGCCTCAGGTATCAACAGCAAGTGCCAGCCTTTTGACTCCAGGATGTATTTGTTCCTGTTACTGATGGATGTGTTCCTCATGTCCTGCTCAGGGAGACAGATATTTGCATTTTAGCCAGTCACTGTCTTACAGCCAGATGAAACAGAGTGATCTTGCAAACTTTGGACCGACCAAAGGGGTTCTGGGTGCTGTGGGACCAAACATGGAGCTCAAGGACTTGTCTCTACTCTTCATCCTCTTGCACCAGATAAGAAGCAGGTAAATCACCCAGGTTGTAACTTCATCTGCTTCGTAGCAGGGACATTGGGTAGCCCCTGAAACTCTGCCGGGTTGTCTTTAAACATAGAATTTCTGATCTTCACAGTGAACAAGCCCTCCTGACAGTGACAGAGCATTGACACAGGTTACCCAGAGAGGTTATGGAGTCTCTATCATTGGAGATGTCCAAAAGCTGCCTAAACATGGTCCTGGGCAACTTGCTGTGGGTGTCTGTCCCTGCTTGAGCAGAGGCTGGACCACAGATGGCCTCCAGAGAGCCCTTCCAACCTCAGCTGTTCTACAGGTCTGTATTAATGCTTACAACAGGTTTATAAAGAGCCCAAATCCAGCGCTCCTTTTAATTGCTCCTAAGAAAACAACAGTAGATAATCAAAAATCTACAGGTGACAAACCTTAACATTGGTAAGAGTGCATAAGAAACCTGTGAAAATTGCTGTCTGGATCTGTTGGTACCACCAACGTTGTAGAATCTTAAGTAGATGTCTGTACTTGTAAGAGGCAGATGGATGAAAATATCCACCTAGGTCTGGCATAGGATTTAAAAATGGAAGGAACAAATGTCTTCAGGTGTCAGCATGTAAACTGTTCCATAAACAGTGTCTTTGGAGCATCGTTTGGTTGATGAATGTAGTTCAGTAGTTGGCTATCTAGATTTACTTTTAAATATATGTCATTACAGAGTTATTTCACTTATGTTTTATGGTTGCGTCTGAAAGTTTGCAAAAAAATTGGAAACATCTGAAACTCTACAGTTGCAGAATCAATCGTTCTCTCCCAAAAAAACAATATGAAGAGGTTTGTGATGGTCTTACAAGGAATAGGAGAGTCAGGAAAGGCCAAAGCCAAGTATGGATATCTCATTAAAATGTATGGAGTAAAAAGTGGTCCTCTTTTGAAGTTTCAGTGGATTGCAGGATGTGTATAGCTTGCAGTTAATTCTTCTACTCTGCAGCAGATTCTTCTAAATGCTGTTGTTGCATACAGTTGCATACGTGGGTTGATCTGGCAAATAGCTTGCTCAGGATCTTCTTCATTCCCATCCCTTTGTGGTTAGCGATGTCTAATAATGAGAGTGTCAAAAGACAGTGCTTCAAATGCTTTGTGAGTAGATTTAATGTTCACTTTAGTAAACCTTCAATTTAATTTTGGAAAACTGCAATATAATTGACATCTTAGGTAAATAACTTTGATTTCTCCGAACCACCACCATCCCTATGTTTCGTACATGTTACAGAATAAAAGACCAGGCATCTGGGAACCTGCTTTAGCAGGGGGTTGGACTAGATGATCTCCAGAGCTCCCTTCCCACCTCTACGGTTCTGTCATGCTGTATTGAAAGCTGAGAAAGTTCAGGCCCTACTGACAGGGTCTGAACCCCATGTGTTACATCCTTGAGGAAAAAAGTTTGCAACAACCATAAATTCTGTCCCTGCGTTAGCAGGTTTTGCACACAGAATGGCTGTAAGGCATCTTGCAGAAGGACAGTTAGAGGCAATCAGCCTTCCTCTGTGCAGAAGATCATACTGTACTGAAGATGCTCAGCGCATGTTCTCTAGGAATTATTTCTTATTCCAGTGTGGGGATTTACACAAACCTGATTCACTTTTTCAATTTGGAATTAATAGAAAAATCATTTGCATCCCTTAAAAAGAGGAGTCCAACATGCATCCAGAGGAGCTGGAATAAGTGGCAACAAAGCTGACAATCTGATATGAATAGCTTCTGATTGAGCAGCACACAGTGTCTTCCAATAACTTTAGCATCTTTATTAAATTAATTATTCATATTTTCTCATTCCTATCTGAAGCCTAATGTGCATAGCTGTGGTATTGTTTGAACACAGTGAGACAGCGTGGCACGACAGACAAACTAAGAATGACATTCCAGCAAAGGAAGGAGAGTTAACTAGAGATGACACAGTGGGATTTTTAGATCGCCAAGCAGAGATCATTTCTGATTTAGTAGCAATTCTTTCAGACAAAGACAAGATAGTTAAACTCAATCATCCTACCACAGTTGTTTACTAAATTGAATTTCCTGCCATGTTTGCTACTCATTGAGTTAGTGAATCTCAGCAAGGAAGAGTTGCCAGAGGGTTTTAAAAAATCCATGATGGACCTTTGAGAAGTAAGTTTGCACGTGTGAAGTACATTACAAATAGCAATAACAAATAACAATAGTAACAGTGGTACTTGATTATTCTGCGCACATGGAATTTGTTTTATTTCAGTATCTTGTAACCTCTGTGGCTTTGGCAGATTATGTGCTAGCTACTTATCATGATAGATTTAGGTACAAGTTGTTATGAAACCATCAAGAAGGGGTATTGATACAGTGTTCACACGATGAATGCTCTTCACTATTTTGATGTTGTCTTATTTCCCGTCTGGATTTTGAATTCTTTTGCTTTCAATTGCTCCATCTTATTATGCAGTTTTGGCAAGACTAAAGAGCCTTGTCTTTGAGGTTACTTCCCTATTTGCATTTATAAATCAAAGTCAGTTCTCCTCTTCAATAAATTAACTGAACTGATCACTTTCTTATCTCTATGTAATGGTTGCATGTGCATATATCAAATGATCTTGTTTACCTTCTCACTCAGAGTAGCATGAACAGAAACTCATACTATAATGCACTCTTGCATGCTAGAAACTGTCATACCAGGTAGTAATCGTCCATTTACAGAGATTTTTACTATCTGCTCCCCAGTCAGTTCTCAATTGGTTTGCTAAGCAATGAACAGATCTGTAGAATGCCAACACTTAAGTACAAACATAAATCACCATTAACATATCCTGGCAAAACTAATGCTTAGCTGCCCTGGATTCATTTTACGCCAAACTATTCCTTAGCACTGGCTTTGTAGTCACTCTCTACCATCCTAAAATAACTTGTAAATAAACAAGGAAAATATTATGTGCCCTGCAGAGCTTGCTATTAAGTAATGATGAAGAACGTTGTTGTTGTTATTATGTGTAGCAATGTAACATTTTAGTGCTTAAAGCCTAACCCAAACAATGTGAAAACTCCATAGGATTTTTCAGAATCAATTTCACTTGTAAGTGTTGTTGGTTATTGAATGGGCTTTTAGTTCAAATGAATCTTTTAGGATATTTCTGCGTCTCGTTTTCTCTGTAGTCCTGACATGTTGATGCTGATCTTCAGAGGGACTTCTGCAGTGTAGGACAGTCCAGAGATGAGTCCTAATGATTTCCACTTTGTCTTGAGCTGTAGACATTTGGACATTTGGGAATAATCAGCTTTTTTGAGTCTGCTTCAGAGATGGGTTTTTCACTCACTCAACTTCGATAAATAAGTTTTGTTACATCAAAAGCAAAAGCTTTTTTGTTTCTTTGTTTGCTTGTTTGTTTGTTTTTTCTCCAAACGCACGATAGGAACAAGGTTATGAAAGACTGAAACTGCAAAACTGCAGTTCTAGATCAGCTTTAATGCTTGATGCTAAAGCATTTATGGAATGATCCATAGCAAAACTGGCTTCCAGAATTTCTGCCTGAGGGAATGGCAGTGGACAGTGATGGAAGGCAGCAATGCCTTTGTCCACTGAAGCTCCCTATGACTGCATCATGCCAAGCCGTGTCAGGGCAGCTGCTTAAGGGAATAGGACCCTTTATTTTATAGTTTTGTAGGTAGAGTCTAGCTCTGAATTTGGAAATATGTGCATGAGCAAATTCATGCAGCTAGGTTTTTGAAATGAATGCATCAGCAGTAAATGGGCTAATCCTTATACCAAAGTTATGTATTTGTGGTGTCGTTTCTGGGACTTAGTGAGCGTGTAAAATTAGGTTTTTTATTCATAATGTTAAATATAAAATGTATTATATACTTCTGCCTTCTGCCATCCATATTATCAAATGTGGGTTGCAAATAGAATTTAGTAGAGAGCTCATTTATACCGTTATTTTGTACTTCTGCCAGACACCAGAAAGCTTTAAGGGTTGCTGTTCCTAAGCGTTGCTCACTCTAAAATCCATACCTTCTCCCAACCTTCTTAGCACGTTCCTCTACCAAAGTCCTTTTTGGAGTTCAGACTTCACAAGAATCCTTTCTTCTCTTCATAAGTAACGGTGGTGATGGTGTGAATTAGTAACTTTGCTCCAAACTTGGTTCAGCAGTATGTGCATGCTAGTTTTTATCAGGGTTTCAGGTATCAGGGTTATCAGGTGATGGTTTACGAATAGAAGAGAATGGGTAGTTATCTCCATGGATATTTCTCTCATTAAGATGTAATCCTCCAGCACAAGAAAATGTTTAAGCACTTGATAAAATCAAAGTTTTATTTATAGCGTTTGCATGGTTCAAAGCAAATATTTTAAAAGTACCTTGATTACAGTAACTGCAGCTTGATTATTTGAGGCTTTACATCTGTATTTGACTACTGTGTGATTTACCAAAATGTAAAATATTCACATTTCATTTGCACATCGTTTCAAAGGAAGCATTAGAATTGAATCTGCTCTGGACTATTCAACTAAAGAAACACTTGGTCTTTCTAAAAACACCTATGGAATATGCACATGAGAGACAGTTGTAACCCAGGAGAATGGAAAGTCCTAAATTTGAGTCTGCTAGGCTTACATGTTGCAACTCATTCACTTATGAGCAGGATCCTCATGGAGTGATTTTCTTTCTCCAGGAATGCGTCAAGGTAATGACATTGGCACTCAGTATCGTTCAGCCATCTACACCTTTTCCCAAGAACAGATGGAAGCTGCCTTGAAATCTAAGGAAGAATATCAAAAGGTAATGTTGGGCAGAGTGTGGCAGTGCTTCCCATGTTGATCAGAGGTCAAGGAAATTTCTCACAGCACCCCATCGCTGCTCGTGCTGCATCCTTTCTCTGTGTTGATGTTGGAGGTCCTCACTCTAATACTGAAGTTGAATCTTACTTGCTCTGAATTCCAGTTGTTACGAAGAAGCTTGTTTGTGTGCGTGACAACTTGATGCAAAAAAGAAAGTATTTAGTTACTTGTACAGAGACAATTTAATGTCTTTCAGAGACTTTTTTCATGTGGGCTCCTCAGAGCAAAGCTTGGTGTCCTCAAAGCTACTGAAGTGCATCTGGGCCCCATACTCTGATGGGTGAAGCCAGTGTCTCAGACCCAAAAGTTCTTGAACTCTGGGGAAAAGTCCTGCTCAGCATGTCAACTTGGGATCTTAGGATTTCCTACCTGCTGGTTCTGAGATGCTTTTATTCCCCACATTCCTTTGTTTAAATGTGGCATTCAGTGACTTCAGAAGGCCGTTTGTTTCGATGTGTGAGAGAAGGATGATTATTTGATTTACCTTTCCTGTACACAGTCTTGTTTTTCAGTGAAGATGAATTCTGTCTATCCCCTGCCATGCAAGCTATTATAGGCCTGGGTTTAATGAAAGACAGAGAGATTACTGTGTCCTTTAGTGTTGCTGCATTATAATTTCTGTCTGATCTGTCTAGTGGTCCTGCAAGGCAACATCCAGTGTCTGCTGCAAAAAAATATGACTTCATGTAACTTACAAGAAATAAATTATTCACCTAGGGCATCAGTGCGACAGATAAACTATTAAATGGTACTGTGAGCTTTCATGCATTCACTTGTGCTACGATTCCACGTAAGCATTGTTAAAGATTTGGGGATTTGGTGAATATCTAATGTTAAAACAAAGAAATCTGTTCTGAAGAGTTATGCTGTATCAATCAGAGGCAGGCACCAAGGCACGGAAGGATATGCATGTGGTTTTTATAAGCGTATACATGACGTTGGTTGATCATTGAGCTTGATCTGTGTTTGCAGGACTGTTGGCATTATTTTGTGTGTGAAGGGATGAACTACAGATAACTAACCTGCAATTTGTTCCTAGCAATGGGATAGCTCTGCATATAAATCAAATATTCAATGGCATATATGTTTTCTTGTGAGTAGCTGAATGCATGGGGACGATCAGTCTTTCAGGTGTATATCTATTAGCAGAGCAGTTTCTGAAGGCTTGGTATTCATATTTATCATGCTGAACTTCTTTCTACTCACTGGTTACCTGAGATCCATCACTTTTCCAAATTGTTTTTTGTTCCCATTTATTAACATCTGCTGACCACTGTCTCACTCTAAATCTTCCAGCTTTCAGTTTGCTTTCCCAAATCTATTATTCTCTGCAGTTATTTGTCATTAAATTAATACTGACTTGAAAGCAAAATTACAATGCAGGAGATTGCAATATGATATTACAGAATTTTCCATCATCAAATAGATTTTCTTAATAGCACAATATAAAATTTACCTACTTTGAAGTCTCTCACCATTTCAAAAGTCTGTATAATTAGTGCATTTATGTAATTAGGCGCAACTCTGTAAGTGGTCACATGTAGAGCTCATTTTTGCACTAATGGAGGAGGAAGGAAGGGACTGTATTGCCAGCAAAGGAACCAGAGCAAATATGTACTGAAATTCCTAGAGGAAATACAGTTTCTACATAGTATTTTCTCGTGTTATCAACAACAGTATCTACAGTGTTATCTACTGTGGAATTGCAGCAGCAGTAAAATGGTTGAATTGGAAACACACTGAGCAAACAATATGTTCAGGAATCCCTTTTCATATTAAATGCCTTGCATTACATTATTTTAAGGAAATGCAGTTTCCTTATTATTGCACTAATTTAAAGCAAATGCCAAATTCTTCTGGCAGGTGTACATTTCTTTACACTTGATAATGGCAGATTAAAAAAAAAGTAAGGATGGAATAAAACTTGATTTTTCCATGATGGTCAGCATTGAATGTTCCAAATAGGGAAAGAACTAGAATCTGAGAATCATAGAATCATTAAGGTTGGAAAAAGACCTCTAAGATCATGGAATCTAATCCTAACCCATCCCCATCATACCCACTAGCCATGTCCCTTGCAAATATTAGAGCTATGGTAACCTCAATAAGTGAGTTTACTCAGTATGAATGACCGTTTGGTTTTCTGGCCCTGCAAACAAGTAAAAACTGGGGTAGTTTATTTATTTGTCAATGTATAAGTAATAAGTAATAATAAGTAATGTGTAAGTAATAAGTAATAATAAGTAATGTGTAAGTATGTGGTCTTGAATGCCTTTTTTCAGCTGATGACCCAGAAGAGAATGGAGAATGGCCTTCCAAATAGAATACTACGCGTTTGCTTGAGGTGTTTTGTTTGTTTGTTTTGAAGCGAGGAATGATCGTTATTGCGAAGGAGTTGGTTTTGTTCACTGAGGACAGAAACTACCCAACTTCAGGATGTATGTCATGAATTTCTGCCTGATTTGCAGGCTAGCCCAAAGCCAGATAGGTGCATTCAGCTCTTTGTACTTTTAGAGTGCAGATTGGGCTGGGAAGAGCAGATGAGCTGAACAAAATTCTCAGTGTCGAAGACCTAAAATGCACAATATGCATTTCAGGGTTTGTTTTTCATTACCTATTGCTTGGTCCCATGTACCATTAGCTGGACTAGTGGTGCATTTCTGGTCTCTCTCCATCCAAAGGAATTAGGTTCATCCATCCCAAGACCATTCTGTGACGTGAACCTACATGTGGTAAGTGGCAGTGATCAGAAGATGTTAGAAAAGCACACTTGTGCTACAGTCTGAATGCTAATGTAGCTTACACACTTATGGTAGTGCCGTGCTCGAGTGCAAAAATACCACAATAAGTGCACCATGTCCACAGCTTATACCAGCCTGCTGATGTGATCTGTGATCATCCCTGAGCCCAAGTATCCTGTAAGGGCTGCATCTGTTTTAAGTTGTGAAGCTTGTTGCTGTTCATGCAGCTGTTTTAACAGCTGAGAAATGGCAATCCAGCAATGAATATGCATTGAGCCATGCGTCCTTAGCTGTCAATGAAGCTGAATGCATGTGGGCAGAGTCAGCTAGTGGCAATTCAGTTCTGCTGCTGGTAAATTGCAGCACTGCGTATGCGTAATAAGAAAAACATAAAATGAGGGCCAGGGCTTGGTGAAAATGCTGTGAATGAGCTGTTCCATCAGTTTTGCCTGAAGCTGAAGTTTTTTAATGCAGTTGAACCTGAGGTTACTCAATTTTCAAGACAGTTGCTAGGTTGGATTTGGTTTTCAAATGATTTATCTGGGCAGTAATCCAAATTGCAAAATTACTAGTGGGATGAAACTTTGTATTTACTTTTTTTTTTTCTGAATCACGGGACTACATTAGTTTTGTCAAGCTGCTAATGCAGGGATTTCAGGCCCCAAGAATATATCCAGCCCCATCACCGCAGTTGACTTATATTAAGGTAGCACCCCCCAAAAATGAACATCTCTGCATCCTCACATAGGAGAGCACAGGGAATAAACAACATGCTCAGAGAGCAAAATGCAAGTCTATTACTTTGCTGCAAAAGCAGATATTTGGTAGGAGAAGAGCTGCCCACACAGCAATAAAGGGCCTCTCTGTGAATGATTATGAACTGAATTCTGAGCTCTTGGCAGAGGTGTTATGTGATGTGAGCAGTGATAAGGTCCTGATGTTATGTGCTCTTATAGTGGTAACCTTGAGAAACTAATATGGGCTCGAACAGGCAGAAGAATAGGAATGTTGGGGTTTCATGAAAATGCTAAAAATGTGGCCTTTATAGAAGCCCCATAGAACTGTTTTCGTTTTTTATGGAACATACAGGAGTTACAGATGAATAAAGAGGTAACTGTTTAGTTTTGTTTGATGGAACTCTGCTAGAAGTAATGCAATGCATTCTTTTCAGTATTTGAGCTGTAAGACTATAATTTTGGAAAGTTTCTCTGCTGGAAAAGATTGTGACACTAATAGGAATCCTCTCTGCAATCTAAATCAGCTAGCCAAAAGATTGAGAAAGCAAAATACAGCAATAACTGTACCAAAACTGGAGTTAAACAGAAAAAAAAAAATAAAAAGAAACAATGCTAATGGTTTGCTTTGGGGCCTGCAGGTATCTTTAAGGAATTCAAAAAGCCTTGTACCTAGACATGAAGAGATTGAATTTAAAAAAAATATAATTTAGTGTAAATAGATAAGATCCAGGCAAGTGGAATTAACTAATTGCCCAGTCTGTCAGTCTGGAGAGCATCCTCTGTGTGGAAATGTTGGGACTGAAAGCTGCAGACAGGAGGGAATGAGGTCTGATGTGGAGAGGAGAGGCTGAGCCGTACTGCAGCTTTTTCTTCACCTTAGCAGCTATGTTTTGATGAAGAACTGAAGAAGATGCTTAATTAAATAAATGAAACTCTGTAAGAGTCATTTTTCTTGGCTTTTCATCAAAGTGTTATTTTCAGTTAATCTAGCAAATGAGTTGGCGTGACAAGCATGAATTTGACCAAACACCTACAATTTATTTTTGAATCAAGCAATGAAAGAATTAATACGTGGTACAAAATTCCCTCTTGGCATCACTCTACAAGACCTAATACAGTTGTGCCATGGATCTGATCAGTGTTTGTAAGTATCTAAAGGGAGGTGGGAGGCAAATGGATGAGGCCAGACTCGTCTTGGTGGTGTGTAGCAACAGAACAAGGAGCAATGGCCTGAGACTTGTACATAGGAAGTTCTGTACAAACATGTGGAAGAACTTCTTTACAGTAAGGGTGATGCAGCACTGGCACAGGCTGCCCAGAGAGGTGGTGGAGTCTCCTTCTGTGGAGTCATTCAAGACCTGTCTGGATGCCAACCTGGTGACCTATTGTAGGGAACTGCATTAGCAGGGGGCTGGACTCTGTGATCTCTTGTGGCCCCTTCCAACTCCTGCAGTGTTGGGATT